GCAGTAAAGATGAACGCGGGATTAGGAAACTCCCCTATGGACTTTGGCGCTCGACTCAGTCAGAACAGGGTGCACATTGTATATACTCAGTCTGGATGTGCAGGCGCTAATTTGTGAAAGAGAAGGGCATGATAAATATCATGAAATGAACTGACATGTGATTTTGCTTCCTGGAATTGGGGATGTTGATGGTTCAAGATGGTTCCAATATGTTCCAGTAGCAGATTTTTTTCCTTTGTAAGGGATCTTTGTTGGCTCAGCGATGGGCATCTGACATGCGAACCACCTGCAGCTCCTCAGGTGATGGCTTTTTACCGGATGGCCGAATCTATGTCTCCTATGAGGGCGTGGAATTTGTCCCCTGGAAGGCTCCAAATTTCCACCGTTTTTTATGTGATGTCTCTTCAGTTTCTGAAGATCTTGGTTTCTTGAGGATAGGCACCTGAGAGCAGATTCCACGGCAGGAGTGGCCGGCCGCTGGGTCAGAAGCAGCAAAGCTCCTAGCCATCTCGCCTTACAGGCGGATACAGTCTGCCGGACGTGTTGCCAGCAGTGGCCACTGTGGGTAGCATGTGTGATACTTAAATTAAAGAATGAGAAACAACCAGGACAGCAACAATATCAAGACATATCAAGACTATGTCCAATACAAAAAGCTTCATTGGATATCAGTTTAGTATCCTTGAGAAAACTCTGATGATAAAATGACGTAAAATGTTTATGGCAGTCGATGTAAAGGTCCTTGTAAGGATTTTTAATTGCGAAAGCCGTGCGTGTTATGTTGGAAACCCTCGCGAAAGTTTTTTTCCTTTATTCGCGAAAGTTTCGCGACATATTTTTTTTATTCGTGAAGAATGGCTGTTCCCGGATAAAGGAATTTTGATCAACCATCATATACTTTATATATATATACATATATATATGCATGTATATATATATATTTAATATATGTAAATACATAGATATAAATAAATAAATATAAATATAAATATAAAAATAAATATAAATATACATATAAATAAATAAAATAAATGAATAAATAAATAAATAAATGTGGGTCTTGTAATTTGATTTCACTTCTCTGGCAAGCCCTCCAGGTATGATCTGTCCGAGGCCAGAACAGGGGGGAGCAACTTGCAGAACATGTTTGAGAGGAACATGCAGACGCCCAGAAGCCAACATATGAAATACACGGACCTGGGATACACTCAGCTACTGTGACAGGATGAGGATGAGAGCTGGGAATCTGACGAGGAGGTCAGATGCCAATGAACATTCCTGCCAAAGTCGACAATGTTGTTGTTGTTGATGATGATGATGATGAGTATGATTGATTATGTTGCCATCGACCATGACAATGACGATGATGATGAGGATGGTGGTGATAATGTGGCGCTGTGTTTTGTTTTTTTTTTGTGTGTGTCACACGAACATAGTTGCACTCACAAAATGGCGTTGCTTACTTGCAGCATTTGTATCACACAATCAGAGTCGAGAGATGTCGAGAGACGAGTTGAAGTACGTCCTCTGTTGGCATTTTGACTGAGGACATTCCAGGCGCCTTAGCTGCCACGACTGCAGCAGCTGCGGAGGCCAAATCAAGTGTTTTGATTAAGGATACTAAGGATACAATAATATTCAATATGAGGTGATTTGGATCTCATCATCTCATCATCTCATCATAGTGTGCACGGATCGTTCACTGACTGGCTGGTACTCCTGGAGGAAGTCCCGCAGAGAGTGATTGCCATTCTATCAGAGGCGCTCGTGGAATGGCAAGCTACATCATCGCAAAATGAAAACCTCAAACCATCTCAAACCCAGTGGCTCGTCAACATAAAATTATGATAAATTATGTGAATGAACAATTACAGAAGATCTGATTTATATGTTTTGATATCGATTTATGATCAAAAAAAACTGTGAAACAATGCGAAACGTTGACAGTCATGAGGACCTCCCCGTCCCCGTCCAGTTGGCATCCCCGAATGCCGGCCACATTGGCCACCGTATTTCTTCGCAACGTCGTGGCCGATTCAGGTGGCCGATGACAAGATGACGCTGGACTCTGAGCTGGTGGCAACGATCTCAGCGGATATATTTGGTAGCTGGTAGCCACATGGGCCACTGAAATTGTACTGAAAAAAATGGACATGACAGGACACATTTTTTTATATGTTTTTCATACTGATTAATATGATGAAAAAACGCCTGTCTTTAAGTAGGCTTCGTATTGAAATGCCCGATGCTGTAGAAATTAAAGATGGTTGAAGTTTCAGAAAGAACCCGAACATCCTTTGAAAAGGCCATGGTTTTTATTTGCATCCAAGGATGGCATTGACTCTTTGGGTGCAACGCTAGCCATGACCTCAGAATACCTCAGACTCCAGTTCTCACTTCTTCCAAATCTATGTACAGCCTGAGTGTAGCATGTGTATATGTGTAGCTGCGGCGGATTTGAGCCAAGGTTCTCAACAATCTCCAGATGCAGTTGGGAGTGAACATCTCCGTCACTGACTGGATGGACAGCGGCACTTCCACCAGCAATTGCATAGCTGACTACTGCCGTCTCTCACCGGCAATGCCCACAATAGGAACTTGTATGTAGTGCATTAAAACAGCATGGAACAGCTGCTTACACTCCAGCCTCACAATGCAGTGGTTGTTTGAGGAGATGGAACGTGTTTCGGACGTCGTCGATCGCGTGCTCAAGGATACATCAAAACATCCTCCATGTTGCGCATCTCCTTGGCTGTGTGTCTTGCCCACAAATATGACTAGCACAGGAGCTTCCAGCGCCAGCACCGGTGGCGCCAAAGCGAAAAATACGACCGGGACTCCAGCCTCCGAGACAAAGGAAGGGCAGATGAGGTCAAGGGAATGCCATGACCACGTCAATTCCTTTAGGATTCTTAGGTTTTGAGCAGTTTTGAATAGTTTTGAATAGATTGGAGGTGTATGGATATGTATGGATAAGTCGAATATGTGTGGATATGATATATATGATGATAAAAAAAATATATATGAATACGGGCCCTCTTTGACTTGTTCTTGTTTCATTCTTGCCTTGAGAAAGTGCCTGTAGCCCCAGCGAAAAAGCCACGGGACTGAGATTGTTGCAAATGTATAGTGAAGTGGTGGCGCAAGCAAGCCAGCTGGAATATGCTGGAAGACCTGCTTCTGTACGTCCTTTTCCACTGCCTCTGTTGTTTCGTTTCTCCTTCATCTCCAGGTCACTCTGATTTTGCCAACAATTCAGATATAGTATTTTGGTGGGTTGATTTACGCAGCGCAGTGGCGCAGTTGTGCAATTCTAGAGCACGCAACTTGGAAGGGATTGAAAAGCTCAGCCAAGGCAATCGGGTACTGTATCAATTAAATAAGTTAAATGACAATGCTGTGGGATTCAGAATTGGTGCTTCTGTTGTTTTGAACTTCTGTCAAGGTTTTTTCAACCGGTCGCCCAAGGCCGTAAGCGGATGGAGGTTGACATGGAGGAGGAGGTGCCTTTGTACTTGTGCTTGGAAAGTACTTGTAGGGATAGTAGAGAACAGCTGCAAATCCAGTCACTGCTCAAATCCCTTCAGATCCTTTGCCATGTTTCATACTGTGCTTCTTCGGACTGATGGCAATGTTGTGGCTTGCGGAGAGAATTCGGCTGGAAAATGCGATATTCCAAAGTTAGATGCGGGAATGACATACACCCAGGCATCTGCTGGCTATGTTCACACCATGCTTCTCCGAAGTGACGGGAGTGCCATGGCCTGTGGCGATAATCTCTTTGGACAATGCGACATTCCACCCTTGCACGAGGGAATGTCATACATCCAGGTTTGCGCAGGTGGATCTCATACTGTGCTCCTCCGAAGCGATGGCAATGCTGTTGCTTGTGGACTTAATAATTGTGGGCAATGCACCATTCCGCAACTGGATGAGGGAGTCACATACATACAAGTTTCTGCAGGAGCAGATCATACTGTGCTCCTCCGAAGTGATGGCAGTGCTGTAGCTTGCGGATTGAACCTATATGGACGCTGCAACATTCCACGGTTGGATCAGGGAATGGCATACACACAAGTTTCGGCAGGTGGCCTTCATACTGTACTCCTCCGAAGCGATGGCACTGCTGTAGCTTTCGGGGAGAATCTATGTGGACAATGTGACGTTCCATGTTTGGATGAGGGAATGACATACATCCAGGTTTGTGCAGGCAATCTTCATACAGTCCTTCTCAGGAACGACGGCCGCGCTGTGGCTTTCGGAGAGGATTGTGATAGACAATGCAATATTCCATCATTGGAAGAGAGGGTGAAATACATCGAGGTGTTCGCAGGCAATGAACATACTGTACTGCTCAAGAGTGACGGCAATGCTGTTGCTTGCGGTCGGAATGATCATGGACAATGCGCAATTCCACCATTGGAGCCTGGAATTTGCTACCTCGGCCGTCAAAAGCCAATTGGGCCAGACCTTGTTTTACAAGTCAATTTTGTTTGTGCAGATGACATAGATGACGCAGTGGCACTGATATGCTCAACTTTGGCAGGGGAAGAGAAGTTAACCTTGACTGCACATGGGCCTGATCCAGTCTGGGATTTGCACAAGCGAATTGCCCGTGAATTGAACGTTGATCTTCAGAGTCTCCGAGTCGTCTTGTTTGATGGCCAGCTGTTAGCCAAAACCTGTCAAGCAAATCCTGTGGCCAAAGTTGCCGATTTGAACTCCCAAGTGCAAGCGTCTCACCTACCCGCGCAGCGTTTGAAAGGGGCCAGCAGGTCAATGATTCCAGGTGTCACGTTGACACTGCTATGAAGATTAAAAGATACTAAAAGCATCTCATTGCCCAGTAGGTTTCATTAGGTTTCCACATCTGTGAGGCAGTTAGAACCTTTGGAAAAACCTGTGTTGCAATGCCCCCACCAGACAAGTCCGAGAATCTCCACACATCTCCAGAGTCTCAAACAGGTGCAGACTGTGCAGACTGGGCCGACGGCGAGTCCAGCGGACATCTCCGAGAAGGCCGCGGGCCGCTGATGTGTTGCTGGAAAACCGACTGCCAATGGTTAAATTCACCGACTGCAAACATTTACAAACCGTGAGTTTGAACTGGAAAGCAGATTTGCAGGTACTGGCCATCTTGAACGAGGTGCCACTTGTCGACATTGAAAGCAGTTCGTTGGAAAGCGCAGTGTAAATCTTGGCGCACCAAGAGCTCCTTTGGCAGGTGGCAGAGGAGGATGAGAAACTGTTTCTCAGCAGAATGATGCTGGATGTGTTCTCTTCTATTGGTAGGTATTGTATGGTATTGTCTTGTTTACCCTCTGGTTATTGAACATAGCCATGGAAAATCACCATTTTTAATAGCTATAAATGGATAATCTATACCATGGCTGCCATGGCTATGTTAAATAACCCGATGATAATGATGTTTAGTGAAAAGTCTGCGATCTTCGCTCTCCTGTGTGCGATCGAGGTCTTTGGATACCGCGCTGACGGATGGCATTGATTCCTTGGGCTCTACGTGCCCCAGCTGATTTGAACGTGGCGAATGCGGCGACACTTTATTTTGCCACACTTTGTCACACTTTGTCGGTGAAGCATCTTGGAATCCGGTTGGAAGTGTTGACGCTGTACGTTGAAGCACAGGCTGGTGATCAACAATATCCAAGCGGCCTTTGGAGTGACACTCTCCATCACATCCTGGATGGACTGTCCACATGACAACATGGCGACCGCATGACCATTTTCAAGATTTTCAAGGGACAGAGTCTTGGAAGGGAAGGAACTATGGAACAAGAACTGTATGTGGTGAGTACTCGTAGGAGCTGTTGTTTCGCTAGCGTTGGAACCTTACCTTTCAGATCCTTTCAGCATCTCTGCAAGTATTATTCAACCAGGAGATGGAGACCGCTGGAGACCTCACGAAGTTTGTGACTGGCCTGGTGGAAGAGCAGGTGCACACCTGGTAAAAGAGCTTAGTTTTTTTCCTTTTTTGCGTCGAGAAAAGAACTTAGCAGTCATCACTCAGCAACCCATGAACATGGAGGCCTTGGTCCTGTCCGATTTGTGCACCCACAGCCCACCAGTAAAGCGATGTTGATACGGCAGTACAAATATAAGATGGATGCCTTGATCGGAGTATAGCGGAGTGCACATTGTCACATTTTGATGGTGAAAACTCCGAATGTGATGTGTAGGCGCCAATTTCAACACCGGTAGCTCCCAAAAAGAAATCGAAGCCAAAGAGAGCGTCGCAGGCGCAGTGCGGGCGCTGCGAAAGTTCAGCATTTTAACATACAGTATTTTCAATAGCAGGTCCAAGCCTGCCTGTACAGGCCAGACGTTCAAAGCAAGGAGTCTGACCCTTGTTTAAAAGCTGTGCATCTTGAGATTTGGATTCTGCACATTTGAAAGTGCGCATCAATTTAGGTCGAGACCAAACCCTTACAAAGCTCTGCTTCCGTGGGACTCTCAATTATGTCTGTTCCAGTCTGTTCCCTCATCCAGATACTGTCTGCAAACAGCCACCTGCTCGTTTCGCTTCAGGTGTCGGGGGTTCGAGTTCATCGACAAGGGATCGGCCCACGGGTGTTCCTAGTGTGCAGGACCCAGTTGCTTCTGGAAGCTCTCCAAGCAGAGGCCCAAAATTCATCAAGCTGCAATGTGCGGACTTTGCCTTCGGACCCTCATGAGCTCATCATCACAAGGTGCTTTTCACCCTCTATCAGAACTATCACCGTTGAACACAGTTGAAGTTGTACCAAGGGATGCACACCCTCCCGAAGCCGAAGAGCCAGCAGGCTTGGAGAAGGCGGGCCGACGGGCCGACGATCCTGCGAAGCCGAAGCGATGTTTTCCACTGAAAAAATCATAAGCAAAGTGATGACATGTACTAATAACTAATACATCTATAATACAAGTTCAGTGCTGTTCATACAGTGGCAGACACGTCAGTACACGTCAGTGCAAAGCTACTTTGTTCAGTGTTTGGTAAAGTCGTACAAGTTTCATGCATATCACTCTGTATTGCCGGAGGTGCAGGAGCGACGCGCCGAACTTGCAGCTGCTTTGGCACCTTGCACGGTTTGCTCTTTGATTTTTGACGAGGCAAGTTCTCCAACCTGCAAAGATTTTCTCCAGTTTGCTCTTGTCATCTCTTGTCCGTGTCTTTTCAAGACTTGCACTCCGACAGCACAGATGCCCTCATGAATTGACTCACCTGCCACTCCCGGCTTGAATTGTGGCTCTAGGGGCTCTAGCGCTTGGCCAGGAAGCTTGCAAATGCGCGAACTTGGCCGAGTTGGTCAGGCTGTACACGCGCAGGGCTTTGGCCCCAGGACCTTGAGGATCAGGAAATTCAGGTCATCAGCCAGTGTAGACTCTGTAGACTTCTCTTCAACACTTTGGACATCTTTGGACGCTTCAAATGCAAGATTCAATGTGTACATATTATGTGCACTGTACGCATCTGTCAAATACGAAGCTTCTTTCCAAGCAAGCAGGTCAATGCACATCGCATGATCTATCCAGATGCTGTTGTTCCAGTCTCAGCTGTTGGGGCAGGGCGCCAAAGTTGACGCAGAGGTTGCACTCCTTGCCAGATGCTCTGCTTTTTTTTAGCACAGGAAGGAGAACCCTTAGCTCTTGCTGCCTGGTCCTTCAGCCGTCGAAGCCTCAAGCTTTCACAACAGAGGGGCAGCTGAATTACAGTATACACATTCTATAGTCTATAGTAGAATATATATATAATAATAAAATAAATAAATAAATAATATATATATAAAAATATATTATATACTATATATTATATATTATATATTATATATTATATTATATATTATATATATATATTATATATTATTATATATTATATTATATATTATATTATATATTATATTATATATTATATTATATATTATATATATTATATATATTATATATATATTATTATATATTATATTATATATTATATATTATATTATATATTATATATATATATATATTATATATATTATATATTATATATATATATATTATATATATATATATTATATATTATATATTATATATTATATATTATATATATATATATTATATATTATATATTATATATTATATTATATATTATATTATATATTATATTATATATTATATTATATATTATATATATTATATATTATATTATATATTATATTATATATATATTATATATATTATATATTATATATTATATTATATATTATATATATTATATATTATATATATTATATATTATATATTATATATTATATATTATATATATATGATATATATGATATATTATATATATTATATATATTATATATATATATATTATATTATATATATATTATATATTATATATAATATGATATATATATATATATATAATAATAAATATATTATATTATATTATATGATATTATATTATATTATATTATATTATATATATTATGTTATATATTATATTATATATATGAGATGCAGTCAAAATAAGCGTAGACTACTTTAGTAAGGGAGGGTCCAATTGTGTTGAGAAAGTGCACCAAACCATGTAAAGCGATAGGCTCCCCCCCCAAAAAAAATAACTTGTAACCATATGAGAGTGCATTAAACTTGGTGTAAACCAAGCAAATATTGTTGTATGCCTTCACGCGATGGGCAAAATTGATGGAGAAAATTCAACCTGCAGTGCCCACGTTTCTTGCAGTTGCCATACCATTTGTTGTCCAAGGTGATTGAACCGTTGCTTTCTGCAGGCAGTTTTTTTCCTTCCAGATCCCAAAGCAGTAGAACTAAACTCAACAAATATGCAACCGAATTCTGAATTAAATCATTGTTTTTGATCTAATTATGAGTTCCGTTTATGTGCTTTACTTTAATTTGAGTTTTGTATTCCTTTTTTCCTTTTCTTTGTCTTTCCTTCCTCTTTCCTTTTGTTATCCTTTTGAATTCTGAAGTAAATCAAAATTGATTTTGAATCCAATTCTGCATTTCATTTGTCTTCCCTTTTCCTTTTATGTTCAATTGTCCTTTTTGTTCCACGTTCCTTTTTCTTTTCTTTTCTTGGTCATCAAGGTGTTCTAATTTAGCGATAACCTTTTGTTGAAAAAGGAACCCCGGACGAGGGATAGACTCATTTGATCCCAACAAGCACTTGTTCATCAGGTTGTTTTGAGACTTGGGGAGCCTTAAGCACTTCTTCATAGCTACGAACGCTTGCTGTACTGGAACTATGAGGTCCCATCTTCAATTTCTAAAGTTTTTGAGCGGGGAAGTGTGGCGTTTTCTGATGCCATGGCCTATAAAGGAGGGACAAGGGCGAGGTGACCCTTTGGGGTTTTCATAGAATTAGTGATCTTATAACCGCTGGGAACCGTTGATCTTATTTAATTGTAATACTAAATATCCTTCCTTAGGAAAGAGTCTAGGAATGTGCTTAGATAGCTCCCCAACATGGTTGCAAACGCAAAGACAACGAGCGCTACTTAATCCATTCCCAGCAGTTTAGAGATCTGAATCCGTGAAGCCAATTCCGCTGCATTTTTGCATAATTAGTGTTGACTTGAACAAAACACTGTAAAGCGATAGGGCCCCAACAAAAAGCGATAACCCATATTTTCGTACCAAGCATCAACAATTGATTTTGACGGCGGCTCATACATATATATATATAATATAATATATATATATGATATGATAAATTTAAATATTGTGTGAGGCATACTATGAGTCATAATTCTCCCCGTATTTGTACGTGTGATCCTTGGACGTGGACGGCGAGGCGTCATTGCCAGTGCTTTGGCTTCTTCCTTAGAGAAGTCAGGCGTCGGTGCCTCAGGTGAATAAAAACTCTGTCAAGTCTTGAGTGAATCCTTCTCAATCCTTTTCATATGGGTAGCTTTATGAATCATATTTAGGGTTGAATATGACACATTTTTGAGTGGCTGGGTTCAATGCCAATCCCCATCCTTAGCTATTTTCAGGTGCAGGATGTGCGCCTGATTCTTTTCAAGGATGGATTGCTCCTACCAGAACCATCGGAGGCGCAGAAATCGTTCGGGCCCCGGGTGCTCTCCCAGAGATTCAATCGATGTTGCGCACAGGAGGAAGGAGATGAGTGGTGGGGCGGTGCTACAGAGGCACCCAAAACTGAATCATTAATTATTTCTCAAGCTCGTAATGTCTGTTAGTTTCTGAAGATTCATAATTTCTGTAACTTTGAGCACATGCGCACAGGCAGTTCTCTTCACAGCCAGTGCTTGCGGTGCGGCCAAGTGGGCAAAGGAGGAGCGGCGCCGTTTGCGGAAGAAAGGTTGGGTCCTTGGGTAGATTCATGAAAGAATCTCAGTCGCAAAAAGCGGAGTCAAAAACGATAATCTTCTGTTGTCTTTGGTATCGCAATCTTGAGCCTTTACAATTTCCACCCCCTTGGATACTCCAGGTGCTGGCAGCACATGAGAGTGAATCAAATCCGAAGTACAGTTAGTAAGAGTACGTTGGACATTTTCCTATTGGCATGTGTTGCATTTGGATTTTCAAGAGCTGCGCATCTCACCCTTGGAGTATTTTGGTGTGACCTTCGGATCTCTTTTTTGCAGCTTCGAGTGTAGTTCCCACAAGCGGGGTTGAGGCGCCCTCCGGCAACTGCGAGAAGATGAGGCCCATGGACCGCATGTTGCCTTGCTGGGTGAAGCCCTGATTGGCTCAGGATGAAGTGGAGGACATGCAGATGCGTCTGTTTTGGGAAGAGGCAGGTCACAAGTAGCGGGAAAATCCAGAGACACTACAAGATTGGCTGATGCAAACAGATGTCACATCTATCGAATATTTCACCTCCACTTTCCAGGTAGGAGCTGCAAGAAATTTTGCGTCGGCACTGTTTTGCCCATCAACACAGCGGAGTGTACGCTGTATCTGTGCAGGGGGCAAAGCCCGGACACCTGCAGCAGCTGGGACCAAAACGCTTTGCGGTGGGGAACTCAAAGATGTGGCCTTTATATGCCTTTATATTGTCTTTTGCTGCAGCGTTTTGTTCTCTGATCAGGGGACACAAAGTATCATGCATTCCAGTGCTGAACAAAAGTTTAAGTAGATCATCTACATTTGCACACTGCACTTTCTCTGGCAGACGTTCCGACCCATTGCAAGGAGTTGGCGAACACCACCGGCCGCAAGGCGACCTGGGGCGCATTTTTTGAAGCAAAAAAATCAAAACAAGATGCCGATGGATGCCGATGCCGTTTCCTCCGACTTCTCTATGCCTGATGTGCCAGTGTACTTTGCCAGGTTGAAATCTTGCGGTCCTTGACAAAAGGAGCCAAGGGTGTGCTGGACTTTCAGGCCAATGTGATGCTCTTCAACACAGAATGCAGTGTTAAAGTTGTTCTAGGATGTCCTAGGAAAGGTTCAAGGAGAGCTCAAACAGGGCCGAGAGATGTTGCTATTGTGGCCGGTGTGAGCTTTAGACAGTGCTAGGGTTGCGCTGCTGTAGTGGGAGTGCAGGGAACCCCAGCGAAACAATAAGATTCTGGGATCGAATTCAATCCTACGATCGCATCACAGTAAATGGTATGCTACCCATGCGACAAATGAACACGTTCACAGAGTAGCAGTGAAACATCAGAACAATCTTGAAATTTTCTCTTTCGCCTACCAAGGGAATCCTCAAGGCCAAAGGCGGCGCGGCACGTTCGTTTGTTGAATAGCTCACCTGGCAATGTGCCGGAAGATGTCCTGTTTTAGTTTCGATGGTGAATCTATTTGTCTTAGCTGGTAGAGTGCTGCTTGAGAAGATTCAAGTTGGCACAGCAATACTGTACCACCCTGCCAAAGAGCAGGGAGCAGGGGATGGACCAGCTCGGTATGTCTCGATTCGAGGATTGGTTCAAAACGTTCCATCAGTGCCTCGCATGCTGAACTTTCCCTGACCCAATCGTTGGCTCAGGTATTCTTGGTGCAGCAGGGTGGGACCTGCGTAAATGTTGGATTGCATCATTGATCATATCTTACCACCCTGGTGCTCCGCCGGTTTGCTCCCCGAACTGTCTGACTCACTCCAGGTTCGTCAATATTCAGCAGGTGTGGGTGTGTGGCAGATTAGACCGGAGACTGGCAACTGAGCTATCTATGTCATTCTGGGACACTGTGGCCTCAAACTCATCAGGCTCTCAATTCTTTGTTTCCTTGCATATCTTTCATGAGCATTGTTTCTCTTCCTTTTGTTTGGTTCCTAACTTTCTCCTACCACCTCTTGCAAGAATCCGCTTGGGTGGTCTTGACTATCTTGACTATCCTCCCTCTCTAATATATTATTCGACTGGTAAGGATCGTTGTCATTAATTTCCATACTGAGACGCATATTGATATTTACAAATAGATGTCTGTTCATAGTGATATCTATGAATATTTACATTATTTTACATTCATATTCATAGTCAGATTCTCTAAAAAATCATCTTATCACGAATCTATTTCCGTGCGCTCAGCAAACTTTGGCCCTGCGTTCAGGCAGGTGCACCAGCACCAGCGCCTGCAGCATCGCCTGCATAAGGCCCATATCGCCTGGGCGAGATGCCTGAGATCTTAGGGAGAGAGTCGGCCCAAACGGCCATCCATCACGGCTCATGTTACATGTGGACTTGTATGAAGTTGTATGAACGTGTGCATCCTCACAATATCATCAATATCTCACAATTGTGTGTGCAAAGTTGCTCTATGCACTTTTTCCACAATGAACATTCTCGCATTCTCGTTGTTTGACCAGCCGAAGGTGTGCCTCGATGTGAATTTGTGACGCAGTACAGGCGCACAAAACAATGAGCGATGCGCGGTATGCTGGTTGATGACTCCAGATGGTTTGACGAATTCAGTGCGTGAATATGTTCGGTTGTACATGTATTACATGTGAACTCTCTGTAAAGATGTGGAACTTCTACATTCTGTCATCTCGTTTCTCATCACCAGGGAAGCAGGGCTGGATACTCCAAGCAACAAAGCTTTTTGCATTTTGTGATGATTTCCACATGATCTCAATGCGTGAACACTA